AAGAAGTAATTCATAAGATTTGAAAGTTTATATATCAATGGTTGATATTTTAAAAGTAAGCAAAAACATTTTCTGATTATGAGCAATTGTTCGCCATTGTTTTATTTTACACTATTTTAAGAACAGTCAAAAGCAGCTCATGTGGTTTAGATGATTGTGCTTGTTTATATGTATTACTTTCACTTGGATTTCAATACGATTGTATAATGTGAAATTCATTCACACTCCTGGTGAAAGGAAGTCCAAGTACAGCCGTCAGAATTTATTTCATTTTTTATCAATGTGGCTGCTTCTAGCTTCCTTGGAGCTAAAATAAAAGCAGTTATTTTACCTTTGATCTCCTATTCAGACTTACTCTACTGGACTATCATTGGCAAATATGCATATTTAATATATTTAATTTTTTATAAACTCATATCTCTGCCATATAGTCGTAATCCACAAATCCATCGAGCTTATATTTGATAGTATTGCTAAAAAAAAATTGGAAGTGGGACTTGCTGGCCAAATCTTGATTGCTAATCATCAGGACATGGTAACAATGACACCTTAGTGTAAAATGTTCTGGACATTGCACTTATTGTTTAACAACTTTAAAGCAAACATCCTTTTTGTGGTGGTGGGGAGGGGGCGTTGATGCTATTTTGAAGCTAAATAGCGAGAAGGAAATTTATCATATTTTATAATAACTTAATTCTCTTGTAGAAAATACTTAACTATCTAAAAAAATTAGTTGACCTACCTTTTTAAAGCATATTTTCTATCAAACACTTTTAACACCTTTATTAAACTGGTTCACCTAGATCTTCTATCAATTATGCTTGAATTCTTCCTGCTTTGATTTCTGTAGAAAAACACCTCTTAGTTTCTCCTTTTTTGCTTCTTAATCCCAACCCCTACATAAAAATGAAAGATTCCTCTGCTTTCTTAGTCAGTAGGGTTTTTTCCCCTCCCTTCATGTATTGATGACCTTGAGAAGCTGACTTGTTCACATCTACGTTTTATGTGGTGGGAAAGGGAAGGTGCCAACGTACTTTAACATCTCTGTCTCAGGTCGATCTTGGTAAATTGTTGAAGCATTTATTTATGACAGTGCTGTTTCAAGTAATGTCCAATACTTTTCCTTATGTCCTGTGGCATTTTATACCTGTATTTGAGTGCTTCCTTCTTACATTGTTGATATACTTCTGAAGTCAAGGAAGATATTTGCAATCAATTTTTATTTTTAAAATATTAGGTACTAAAACTGGAACTTAAGTTTAAGAAAGACTTTATGTGAAAACGAAAAGGACTAGCAGTTTAAAGCTAAGCTTTAAATTAATTGCTGAATGCATTCATTTTATGGAGATCTTTACCCAGTTTACTAGAGTGCTTGGAGGGCTATTTTCATGCTTTCTGAAGGTGTTTTACAAGCAACGATTCACCACAGTAATATGTAGGTTGCCATCTTTCCACATAGTTTTAATCATAATTGTCTTAAACCATAGTTTCTGGTAAAAGGCTTTGGAACTGAGGAGCATAGGTATATGTTGATGATTCATTGTTTTAGAATCTCCATGTAACGTGTTAATTCTGAATAGTTCTCAGTGTGAACGTTTCATCATGTAGCCTCCAGGTTGCTTCTCCAAGTGACTCTACTTTCAAAGTATTTATTTCAACTGTGTGATCATTTTGGCTTTAGAATTAGGAGTACAGGGTCTTTACTTTTGTTCAACCAAGAGAAGAGCTGATTTAAGCTATTTTTCATTTAAAGATCACAAAGAACATAATTTTGATGTATGTTTAGCCTCCTGAATATCTAAATTAATTATTAGCAGAGGAAGTTCATACAACTGACAATTGAGATTTTTTCTTTCTTTCATTCGTTTGTTTTTGTTGTTGTTGTTGTTGTTAACAAGAAAGATTGCCCTGTTTTGCTCACATCCTCATCCACATGATGTCACAGAGCCAGAACTTGCTTAATTTGTTGCTGCTTAGTGGAATTCACAGTATAGTGGAAATGTTTGGAGATAATTCTGTGCCATGGTAGAAACTTCAGTTGCTTCCTCGTATTTCTTCAGGGCAGTGATCACAACCAGATTCAACGTTTGCACAAAGCAGCGGATACCATGGTAGCGGCCGTCGCTGATTGCTTTTACCATGTTGGATCCATTGTCAGTCTCAAAGACCTACTTCCAGCTAGGTGCCTTGAACTCAAATAGCTTTTCACACAGACTTCAGGATGTGAGCCAAGGTATGGCCTTTTTTCATGAGCTGGGCCTCCATATGGGTTGACAGTAACCTACAACTTTTGTAGAAAAGAGAGTGTTGGCTGTAGTTTAATGTCAGACTGTGTCCAGATCTGGTTCTCCTGAGGCAGGTAGTATATGTTGTTCAGGTATTTGAAGTTAAGAGATTGCTACTTTCTCTCCCCCCGCCCCCCCCTATATGTTTTTATCCAAAGGACTTTCCAAGAAAAAAAATTTTTCTCAAAATTTGATGTTAAGGTCTAAAACGTGTGCTTTATAATTCAGCCATTGTCTTCGATATGAGATGCATGTGATTTTTTTCTATGTCTTTGGTCTAAAATAATATTTAAATTTCTGTAGATTCTCACATATTTTAATAGAATTCTTTTTCTTATGAATGAACCATTTTAAAAAAAGAAGCATTAGGGAATTTGGTATTCATGAATAGGGATTGAAACTCAGAATCTGTAGTTTTCTTATGTGTATGTAACTTGTATGTTAGTGTGGTGACTATGTGAAGTTCTGAATTACGTTGATAGATTTTTCTCGCCACCCCAGAGGTTTTTGTTTCTTTAAGGAGAATATAAATCCAAACTCCCATATCCTTACTTCCTGCCTGGCAAGATATGTTTAAGTAAAATTTTATTTAAAAGGACAATGGATCCACCCAATTGAAGATAGATCATCAGTATTTTACTAGGGAATCACCTTTATCTTATTTTAGCCATAACTCCAACTCTGCTGGTGTTCTCACTCGACTTGCTGTTTTTCTGTTTTGATTTCACAGCCCTATTATTTACAAGCTGTTTAAGCCCTGTTATTAGAGATAATGTTTAGTAGGTAGTCCTTGTAAATTCTTAAGGGATATTGTTAAGCATCTTAGACACTTTTCTTGACTCTTAATGTTTCTTTATAATCATGTTTTTGCTAAAAAAAGATCACATCTACTACACTACTAAACTGTAGCCTCAACTGTATATTTCGTTGTAAAAGGTGCAATATCTTATTTCATACTATCAATAGCTACTGTTTCTTTTTTCAGTCTCAAAAAGTTTACAGTACTTTCCGTACCCATGTGAACGAACACATGTATTCACGCACAAAACTTGATGACTGTAGAGATTTACTATATAACATCTGTACCAAGTAGTGGCAAAGGAAAACGTCCATACAGTCTACGGCTTTTAACACGTCAGGGAAAATGAAAATAGTACAAGAGAAGAACCGGTGACACAGACCTTTCCAGTTAAATTATGCTGCCAGGTGACATCATTTGTACTTTAGAGTAAAGCTATTTGTAGATATTATTCTTTTCACAACACTGTAGGAATGAAATTCAAAACATTCAGGGATTTGAAGTGCTCTTAGAGTTTAGAGATTGTTTCTTTTTCTTTTTTTACCTCATAGTTTTTTTCCCAAGGGACTTTCTTTCTTTTTTTTTTCCCCCAAGGAACTTTCAAAGAAAAAAATACCCCATATACATGAGTGGCTCTTACTAATTTACTACTTGTCTGCTGTTGTTCAGCACGGAAACAATGCTCTCACGCGGATTTTTGTCTTTGTGATAAAGAATGACTTATATGTACTTGGATAGCATAATGTTTCAAGGAGCCCTGGTGGCACTGTCAGGTTAGCATTGGACTTTTGACCGAAAGGTCGACAGTTTAAACCCACCAGCCACTTGTTGGCTGCATCAAGGCTCTTTCCTTCAGTGAACACTTAACAGCCTCAGAAAACAGCCTATCAAGAGTCAGTATAAGCTGGAACCCACTTGAGGGCAGAGGGCTCGAGCGATCTTTTATAGTTTCACAGTGGTCCCTGCCCACTTCGTCTAAGCAGTAATGGCATCATATTTATGTGACTAATATGTTGAGATAGACACAAGGAAATTGATAGGCTGTTTTCTACGGTGAAACATGTAATGAACAATAATTTTACATAGACATTTAAAGAAATGTTTTGATGTCATATACTCGAAAGCCTTGCTATGAAGTATCTTATGATTAACAATTTGATGTAAGGTTGGGTTGATTTTAAACCATGAATAGTAAATAATACAAACAAGTTCCACTCCTAAGTCTGTTTTATATAGGATTTGTACTTAAATAATAATTGTAAATGATACTAGTCAAATGTTTACCTTAGTATATAATATAACTTTTATGCATTAAACACATTAAAGAAATGCTTCTAGAGACAGAAAACATAATAGAAATAGTGATGTTTTGGTGTATTTCGAGAAATGGCTCTCATTTGTTATTTAAGAGCTATTTTTTGTATGTACTACAAATTTTAATATACTAGTCTGTATGGGTGTTGATTCTTAACTCTGAGTTGGATGTTCGCAACCAAGGCCTGCCTGTACTCTGTTTTTAATGGTGTGGATCCAAGCACATATCAGCGGCCTGAATCTTTTATATTATGACATTGTTACAGTGTTATAATTTGTCTGTTTTTACATTTGGAGGAAAAACATACCCAAATTTTATTGTCCGAGGCATTATTCCATGACTTTAAAAGCGTACTGAATCTAACTTAAACTACTCCTTATATATGATAGGCGTGGAAAATTTTGTATCTTCTAATTCCTTTCATACCCAAACTTTGTGAAACCCCCTCATATATATATATATTATATATATGTCAAAATGCAATTTAACATTTTGATTTTTAACAACTATTAATGACTTTAAGGTTTGTTTTGTTTTTTCAGTATAAAAATTTTGATTTTCCATTCATTGCTTTCCATTTTAATTTTTTATTTCTTTCCAGATCTAAAAGGGAAAATGTTAAAACAGGAGTAAAGCCAGACACATCTGATCAAGAGCCAGAAGGACTTACTCTTCTGGTGCCAGACATCCAGAAGACTGCCGCGATCGTCTGTGCAGCCACCACCAGCGTGCGGCGAGCCCATCAAGGTGCAGTGCTGTTCTCCCCTGCTACTCTTCCTTCTAGCCACGGGCCCTCCTCTCCCTCCTCGATGTTGTTAGCTGCAAGCAAGCTTACTTACTCAAAATTCTGCTTTTCTATCAAGTTGTCAAGCTGATTATGGATAATATCTAATTTTAAAGTATTTGTATTATGCATAATTGCTGAGTGAATTCAGTAAGATGGCAGCATGCATCGTACTTTTTTCTTCCTTTCCTTCCACATAAAGTCATAAAATTTTTAAATGCTTTTGAATTTGTGTTAGACAGGGTTCTCTAGAGAAACAAAACTAGGACACTTATGATTTTATATATATATGATGATAGCTATATATAGCACGAAGGCATGTAACAGCTAATTAGCCCATACAGCCGTGCAGAGGGCTCAGTTCAACTCACGAGGGCTGCTGGGTCCAAGGTCAAGGAAGCAGACAGCTGAGTCTTCCGGAGAGCAGTGCACGTAGTCCAGCCACAGGCAGCAAACAGCAGGGTGGGTCCCCAACAGTCAGCAAGAGGACAAGGTCCGACAGTCCCAAGCAATGTATTACACCTGCAGCATGGCAAAGCAGGTCTCGAAGGAACCTCAAGCTCTGGCGACACGATTGGCAGTGTCACTGGTTGGCAGTCCCACAGGCAAGTATAGCTCACGGGATGAGACTGAGAACTAGCAGCTGCACGCTGTTTTATCACCAGAGAGCAAGAGACAGAATGGCAGGGCTCACAGAGCCATTTATCTCTTTGCCCTCCAATCAAACTGTAATTTTATTAATCCCACATGTTCTCTTGGCCAGGTTGGCACAATAAGCTTATCTATCACAGTATTAAATAAGAAAGTCATGTATAAATTGAGACTGTGAGAATTTGGTTTAAAGGGGTATTTTTATAGATTAGCACTGTTAAAATGATTCCACTTGTTATCTACTGTCTTACTGCTTTCTGTTTTTCCCTAAATATATTTTAAAGTTGCTATAAGGTTCTTGGTCCTATTTTTATGTATATGAAATGGGAAAAAGAGCTTTGAAAATGGTACAATCAGAAGGTAAATGTGAAGAGTTTGGCAGTTTATTAGGATTCTAGAAGCAAGTTCTTTTTATTTTTTAATCTCTAAAATGTATATCCATATTCTTTATCTTGAAATATTAAATAACAGAAAAAAAACTAGGTGAATACTCAAAGAAGGCAACTGTGAAACCCAAACCTTTGTCAGTATTAAAATCACTTGAAGAAAAATATGTGGCTGTCATGAAGAAGTTACAGTTTGGTAAGTTACGATTTTAATCATTTGTTCATACTTCACGTTGATATTTGTTCTTTTGGGTACAGAATTAAAGAATTTGAACTTGCTTGTAACATGAACCATCTTCCGTACATGGAAACTGTATCTTTTATCTGTTTTTACTTTATATTTTTACTTGATATTAATTCATTAGGGTTGTGGAAACACTGGTGGAGGGTGGGGGAATAAAAACAAAGGGTTAAATGTCAAAGAAGCAAGGTTTCTGTGGCTCTGTATCCTGGCCTGAAAGAAGATAAATCCTGGAATTTTGAACTAAATCTGAGTTTCTTTACCATTACAGATTTCCATGAGGTCCCTTTGGGAAAATATAACGACATATAATTCAGCTTTAACTTTTCTTATTGCCAAACTCTAGACAAATATATAAGGATGGATGAAGGGTCATATCTTTACCTTTCATAAGATACTTATCTATAAGTAGACTCAGATTTCAACTATTGATTGTCATTGCTATTTTTTTTTATACTTATCTGCTTTCCCCGCTTGGGAACCAGACCAAAGAACATTAACTATATTGAAAAGAACATGAAAGTAAGAGTCAAAAACATAGATTTTTGTCACACTGCCATATTCTTTGAAACCTCAGTGTGAGGCATTTAGCATTCTCTGTTTGCCTCCCAGGTTTGCCATAAAGATCAAATGAAAGTGATTTGAAAGTTAATAAAGACACAAAGCCAGATTATTGAAAGGTCTTACTCATCCTTTTAAGATTAGAAGAAATGATCAGAATAAACTGATGTTCGGGAAGAATGCGGCAGTTTTTGGTTCATGTTTCTGCCCAGGCCAACCAACGAATTCAGGCATGTTTAATAAACTAAAACGTTCAGCCGCATTATTTTACTATCAACAAGTGATTACCAAAGTAACAAAATATTCTCTGCCATAGTCGTCAAGTTACGAGGCACTAAGATTTAAGTGCTAAAAATACATAAAGGGAATTAAGCATATGTCTTCCAGGGGATGTAGAAGAATTAGCACAATTACTAGAGAAGGCCATAGACCAGTAATGACCATTGACCCACACACTGCATCACAGGTAGGAGGTAAAGTATGCTGAGAAATTAAATAGGCTTCATTTTGTTAAACCTCTCAAATCAAAGTAATGATAGTTTGATTACTGTATTTCCTTGGTACAAATCTTTAAAACTACAATTTCCCCTGCTGTTATAAACCAAAACTACTGTAGTAGTTTGGCCATGTGTCAAGAGTAGTCCGTAGTGTTACATTAAACCTATTCCTTTGTTTTATTTCATCAGACCTATTCCTCTATATGGTTCATAGCCTAGTAGTAAAAACCAGGCTCAATGGGTTTGTTTGAAGCGTAACATTTCTATACATTTTCTCACTTTGCCAGACAGCCTATTTTCTACTCATATCTCCCTCTTTCCCATGCCCCAACTCAGATTCAAAAGCCTAAAGCAGTAGTTCTCAACCTGTGGCTCGCGACCCCTTTGGGGTCAAACAACCCTTTCACAGGGTTCGCCTGATTCATAACAGTAGCAAAATTAAAGTTATGAAGTAACAACGAAAATAATTTTATGATTGGGGGATCACTACCTCATGAGAAACTGTATTAAAGGGTCACTGCATTAGGAAGGTTGAGAACCACTGGCCTAAAGGAACTACTTGTACTTCTTTACCTGCTGTCTGATTAGATGTTTACACTGAATGAGATTTGGTCCGCATCTTGCCCTAACCGATTACCAAAGCATAACTATCGAAACCTTTCATTTTTATTGCTGCACTAAAGGACTGTGCTTTATGAATGGAATTTGGGGCCTCAAGTCAGTAGAGAGAATTTTGTTTCAAAACCCCAGAAATTAGGCTTATGTTAAAATAAATCTGGAAGCAGTTACTGATGCTTCCCTTTGCCTTGGCTGGTATAGATGAGATCTCAGAAAGCCAGCAGCTGGTTGCTTCCCCTCTACTTCCATTAGACATAATTCTGCTATTTCCCTCAACTAGATCAATGGGAAGAAACAGCAGTCTATAGTATTTTTAGCCCGAGGTTTTAAGTACCTTTTTATAAACTACAGGCAATTTTCTGTCTCTACTGAGTTGTTAACTCAACACAGTTGTCTCTGTTGTTGTTAGCTTCTGTTGAGGCAACTCCTAACTGATCCACCTAGTACAGTGAGATGAGACCTCTGTGATCTATCAAACTTCGTTGACTAGTTCCTCTAAAGTAGATCACTGCCAGGTTTGTCTTCCTGTGTGTTTCTCTGAAAGTTATACGGAAACTAGATTAGGATCACAGATACAAAGAAGCCTTCACTGACAACAGGTCATGAGTGCCCATATTGGCCAGGAGTCCATCCCTGGTCTCCCACACGGAAGGTGAGAGTTCTTCCACTGGACTAGCACTGTCCTTGTTTCTTACAGATACATGCTGTAAAACGTTTTCCTCCTGACATGAGAATGGCCCATTTTTGTGTGGTGGCTTTCTGCTCATAAAAGTCAAAGGAAATGTATGTTTGTAGCATATGAATATCAGCAGAGTTGGGCAGATGAAGTAACTGGGATGTGTAAATTGACTAAGAAATAATTTGTAGTCTTGCTGAGAGCCAATCTGTTTGATATGTACCATGTGATAAAATAAATTATCAGTATTACTTATACAGAATTGGAGACTTTCCATACCAACTCCAAATTTCCTTTTTATATCTGAAAGAAGCTAGGCAAAGTAGTACTATGAACAAGATATGTAACACTCCTTGCTGTCTAGCCTCATCTGTGTAGTTAACATATCTAAACTGTAACACTGTAGAACAGATTGTTTTACCCCTTTTCTAATGCAGTAATTCTAATTCTAATAGAGCATTAACATATCTCTATAGGCAGTATATTTTTGAAATTTTATATAACACAGGTCAAGTGGTAGCATTGCTCCTAATAATGGTATTTTTACTACCCATGGTTATCTAAATAATCCTTAAAAAATTTTTTTTTGGCTAGGTGTCTTAGTTTCCTAGTGCTGCTATAATAGAAATAACACTCTTAGATTGCTTTAAAGAAATAAATTTAGTTGTTTCCTGTCTGTGTGCCCATTTTATAACTCAGACTGGATTAGATTTAGGGCATACCTATGCTGCGATGTCATCAGTTAACATCACAGAAAACCCTGTGGACTAATAGAATTACATCCACGGGTGTCAGGCTTAGAATTCCAACACGTATTTTGGAGGGGATTGCAATTCAATCCATGAGCAGAGTTAATCTGAATTAGAGATTAAGTCCTAATCTAATTCTTTCATTCCGCTGTTTATATGGAGTAGGGCCATGCGTCTACATTCCATTGGGATTGCTTTTAATTAACATTTGTATTAGGAATTCTTTTGACATAAATATTATATGACTCAAAAGCATCATTACTACTTCGAATTGTCATTTAGCTGCTTGATATATTCTACCAGTGTGTCTAACATGTAGATTGCAAGTTAATCGTCACTTTTGCTTCAAGTATATATTCCATCCATGTAGCATGGTGTGAGCATGGGCATGTAGATGCTGCATAAACATTTATAGCTGCTGCTATTCCATATATATGGAAGAAGGGGAAATTATTTATTTGTAATGTTTATTGCTGTAATAGCTGTCAGGTTCCATGTTTTTCAGTGCTTTTTCTTCTCTGTACTCTTTTAGATACTTTTGAGATGGTTTCTGAAGATGAAGATGGAAAATTGGGTTTTAAAATAAATTACCACTACATGTCTCAGGTGAAAAACTCCAATGACGCAAACAGTGCTGCCAGAGCCCGCCGTCTTGCCCAGGAAGCTGTGACGCTTTCCACCTCCCTGCCTCTGTCATCATCCTCTAGTGTGTTTGTACGCTGCGACGAGGAGCGCCTTGACATCATGAAGGTGGAAATGGCAGTGTGCCGTTTTCTTCAGCTAATCTAATTGTGCACAGATTTAGGGAAAGTACTCGGAGTTGCATGAAGTTTAATGCATTCAAATTTTTTTAGTGACCATATTGGACATCAGTGGACTTTCAGCCTATGTACAAAATAAAACTGTAGAGACCACCACCAAAAGGGCTGCTTCATTGAGCATATCTGCAGCCTGTCACTGTGTTAGAGCCAGTGGAGGAAAGGAGCAATTTTTTTTCTTATTATCTAAAATACTTTTCTCACATCTTTTAACATTATTCTTCAAAAATGTGCCAATATTCTGGGAAATTCATACACAGGAATGTGTCACTAATGTCTGATACATTTTGTGAACTAGGATGTTATTATATGAATTGAATATTGTGTGTATACCATATATGTTTGTGTGTGTTCATTACACCTATATCAAAGTAACTCCCCTGTAAGCTGTTCTGGCTCTCCTTAGCTTGAAGCCAGTTTACACCTGCAATTGAATGCCTCTTGGGTACCCCACGCTGTCTGAGCAGAAATCAGAAGGGAGTCTTGATAGCACTGGTTTGACACTGGCCTAACTGCAAGGTCATCGGTTCAAACCGCATATCCTTTCCTTGAGAGAAAGATGAGCCTGCTTCTTATAAAGATGTATCCTCTCAGAGACCCTATCTAGGGTTGCTTTAAGTAAGAATGACTCAATGGCAATGGGTGGGAGTTCTCCCTGCTGGCACCAGTGTACAGGGTGGGCAGGGCATTTGCCAGCATTAGCCAAGAGAACCACAACTGTGCAGTTGAACTGCTTCCATGACTCCGAGACTATAAAAGCCTTGATTGTGGCTCAAGGACTGCCCCCGCATTTAAAAACTCAATGGTCCACTGGTTTCCAAAGAAACCACTTCTCCTGCTCACATGGGCATGGATGTGACTAGACATAGCCCCTATGGAGTCATATACTTAGACATGTGTATGTGTATAGAAATAATGATATTGATATAGCTGCACCTTTATATTTAACCCTGTGATGCTCTGGCTCCTTAAATGCCAAAATAATAGTCCATAAAAAAATTCCAGAGTTTGGATATTTGGGGGGGGAAAAACTCTTATGTGTATAACATAATCCAGGGAATATTTTGCTTTTTTTAGATACACAGCTTAAAACTATTGACACAAATTCTGGAATATTTTTCTTTTCTTAAACCTAAGGGGAAAAATCACTAAAATTTAAACGCTAAAGCTAGACTATTTGGTCAAGCCAGTTACTTTCTACAAACATTAGAATCCTTCAGAGGATTCCTGCTCAGAGAATGGTGTTTTATCACCAATCTTCACAAGTTCACATTTGGGGTTTTGTGTCTGTTCGTTTTCTCCTAAGGGAAAGTGAGCACAGGTTGAGATTCTGGTGTCACACTTACCTCCCTGCACAACTGTTTAGGACCAAATATATGTTGAACAACTCACATGAAATTTGTATATGATTTTAGCACTCACTACTGGGTTATCCACTGTTTCTTGGAACACCAGCAATCCTAAAGGAAAAAACATTTGTTCTCTCAAAACCTTTTGGTCACAAGACAATATATGGTCATTCTTTCCCTGTTACCTTTTCGCTTTATCCCCCGAGGGGCAAATATGGTATTTCTTAAAACCGAAAATGACCTCAAACTTTATTGGAGAGAGATAGCCTCAATACCTTTGCGATAGAATAATAAATATACCTGGAATCTTAAATAGTTTAAGAAATGCCTTTTAGAAAGCATTATATAAAAGATCCGTGGGAAATGAATGTAACTTCCTACTAAATACTGCCATGGAATCAATGCTGACTCATAGCAGACCACTATGTAACTGCTTATGGGAGCAGAAAGTGCATTTTTTCTCTTGAGCTGCTGATGGTTTTAAACTGCAGACCATGTAGATTGCAGCCCAACGCATAACAACTACACCACCAAGGTTCCATTAATATTAAATAGGTACTTGGTATTAAAGTAATTTTTTCCTTCTATAAATAAAGCCTCACTTTTTTAATATCCCATTTTTGACCAAAACAAAATCACTTTAATTCTAAGCCCAAACCAATTTTCCCGTTCTGTATTTATTTTTAACTTCTAATTTAATATTTAGCACATTCTGGTAGCAATATGAATAGAGTGTGACAAGGTTTTGTTTCATGCCAAACTATTATTTTCTAATGTCATTGCTTAGGGATAATAACATAATTTTTTCTGTTTGTATATTCATATTAGGTTCTGATAACTGGTCCAGCAGACACCCCTTATGCTAATGGATGCTTTGAGTTTGATGTCTATTTTCCTCAAGATTATCCAAGTTCACCCCCTCTCGTCAATCTGGAGACAACTGGTGGTCATAGTGTGCGATTCAATCCAAACCTTTATAATGATGGCAAGGTAACATCTTTGCAGCTTTTTGTTTTTGGTACCAATGTATTACAGGCAAAGGTTCCTTGTAATTTAAACAGAATCTTAATTTTGTTTTCTTTCCAAGAGGACATGGGTATCTCAGACATCTCTTCCCTATAGCTTCAAATGAGCCTAAAGAATGGAAGGAAAGAGCAGCAGCATATGTTGTTGTGAAGTACATGGAGTCACAAGCAGTTACTGAGGGTGCAGTAATTCCACACAGCCATGTCCTTGAGTACACTGTCCCTTATCAGCATGTAGTAACTGTCTGTCTTACCGTCTCAGCTTTACTCTGCATCTCTAGTTCAGGTGTCTTTCACAGTGCCAGGGTTAGAGGAACAGCAAAGAACAGAACTGTCAGCATTTTATTTTTGTTTATCACAACTTGGTTGCCATCCTAGCTGCCCACATTTTCCTTAATGTATGTAATTGTGAACTTATTTTTAAGGATTAAGGTATCTTAAAATATTTCCGTAGACATTTTCTTATATTACAATTTGGATGATACACTCCCACAAACAAGAGTAATAAAAACAATCTCATGTTGCAAGAAATCTTGAAAAATGAGATTTAAGAGAACAAAGTTGATTGAGAATGTTTTGATGGCATTTCAATGCTAAATTCTCTGCTGTGTATATTCAGTGTTTAAAAACCACTAGAGGAGGAAAACTGTATGGGCCTCAGAAGCAAATAGTGAAAGCAGATGATGTGAGAATAGCAAGTGTTGGACGTTGGTCTGGTTCATCAAGTATGTCTCCAAGTCTCTGTTTATTAGAGCCAATCATAAAGCGAATTCATTTTCTAGGTGAAAGAGATTAACCAGAAATAGACATTTCTATGAGAGAGAGAGAAGAACAGGAGTAGAGAATAGGGAATAGCAGTGCTGCTTTTCTTTTCGAGAGATTGAAACCTGAAGAGAACCTAAGTGTGTAGTATTTTACTATGGTTGTAAATTCCAACTGTTAGGTAGCAACATAGTTGTTGAGTGAGGAGTAGATGTACCTGCCTTTGACAGGCACAGAGATGCTGTGAAGATCAAATAGAATGATATGTGTGACAGTGCCTTGAATAATACACAAGACTGTTAAACATAAGTCTTCTAAATTTTTTAATGAAATTCTTGGTAAGTGAATCAATTTGTTTTGCATAATTGCTTCCACATATAATTGGAAAAAACTCAAGATCAAACACCTGTAGTTTTTTTAATTTTTATTTTCACCTCTACTTTTATTTGTTTATTTTAAATCATTTTATTGGGGGCTCATCACAACCCATCCATCCATCCATTATGTCCAGCACTTTTGTACATTTAGTTACTCTTTAAACACCACTGTTTTACAAATTTGTCTCTCATATCATTTTGTTTTTTTAATGTAAAACATTTGGCATAAGAACACATGTGGTATGCCCATGTTTTATTCTGATCACATGTGACAATAGTTCAGACTTTTAAATACCTCCAGTTCTTTTTCCCAGAATGACCTATATATTTGACAGATAATTTGATTCTGTCTTCTCAGTCCACAAGTATCTAATATAACTCAGTATCTAATGTATATCCCTGTGAAGTCCTGGGATTCCTGATAACCTGTGAGGTCCTACCTTTCCCAGCTTCATGTTTGTGTGAGACTGGATTTTATTTTTTAATTGTTTTATTAAGGGCTCATACAACTCTTATCACAATCCATACATACATCAGTTGTGTAAAGCGCATTTGTACATTCATTGCCCTCATCATTCCCAAAACATTTGCTCTCCACTTAAGCCCCCAGCATCAGGTCCTCAGATTATTTTTTTAAGGTGAGCTTTTACAACTCATAACAATCCATACATCAGTTGTATCAAGCATATCTGTACATATGTTGCCATCATTATTTTCTGGGCATTTACTTTATATTGAGCCCTTGGTATCAGCTCCTCTTCCGCCCCCCACCCTCATGACCCCTTTGATAAATTATAAATTATAATTTTCATATCTTACACTGTCTCCCTTCTCTCATGGTTTCTGTCGTTTGTCCCCCTGGAGTAGAGGAGGGTGTGGTTATGTGTCGATCACTGCAATTGTTTCCCCTTCCTCCCCTTACCTCCCAACCTTCCCCCTCCCCTTCTGGTATCGCTGTTCCCATTCCTGTTCCTGGATTTCGAGTGTTGTGAGCTCTATCTCTTATCTCTACCTGTGTACATGCTCCGGTTTAACCTGCAGTGAAAGGCAGTACTGGGGTCATGATAGTGGGGGGTGAGGCAGCTTCAATCAAGGAGCCAGAGGAATATTGTGTGTCTCATTAGTGCTTTACTATGCCCTGGTTGGCTCATTCCTTATCTGTGACCCTTTTTGAGGGCATGTCCTATTGTCTACAGATGGGCTTTGGGTCTTTGCTCTGACCTCCCTCATTCTCAACAATATGGTTTATTTGTTAGTTATGGGTCTTTTGATACCTGTTACCCAATCCTGTAGACACCTCATGATCGCACAGGCTGGTGTGCTTCTTCCGTGTGGGCTTGTCGCTTCTCTGCTACATGGCCACTTGTTTAACTTCAACCTTTAAGGCCCCAGACGGCTGTATCTTTTGATAGCTGGGCACCATCCGCTTTCTTTACCACATTTGCTTATGCACCCATTTTGTCTTCAGCAATTGTGCCGTAAGGGTGAGCATCACAGATGTCAGTTCGTTAGGACAAAGTGTTCTTGCATTGAAGGAGGGTGTGAACAGAGGCCCGAAGTCCGTCCACTACCTCTGTGTATTGCCATATAAATATATGTATATAGGCAATTACCTCTATTTTTATGAATTAATGTATTTATATATGTACACACCTATATTTATACCTCTATGCATAACTTTGCTTCCTCTGTTTGATTTTACCTTCCTCCTGCCTGACCATCATGCTTGCCCTCCTTCCACCTCTTAACGATTCCTCTCAGCTAGATTGCTGTTGTTCCGACACCCCCAGGATCTCTATGTGCTCCTTGTTGATTTTAATTCCTTAGCTGTTCCCCTGTATAGGGCGTTGTTTGCTTAATGCCCCTACCTCCCCCCCACCCCCAAGTCCCTCCAGACTGTTGGTCCCGTTGCTTTTTCCTCGAGCATTGCTTCCAATGCTTATCTTATATAAGTAGGCAAACCAGCAATAGTATAGACCAAACAAAAAGAAAACATAAGATTGAAAGCAAAAGGGAAAAAAACCATATATAATTCCAGGTCTGTCAGCTGACTTTTATGAATATCTCCCCACTGACCCTGGGAGAATTCTGGGAGCTTCCCCTCCTAGCCTAAAGTCTATTTGGCGGGCTCTTTAGAGGCTTTGTGGCTTTTTAATTATTTTTTTAATCATTTTATTGGGGGCTCATACAACTCGTATCACAATCCATACATACGTCAATTGTATAACGCACATTTGTACATTTGTTACCCTCATCATTCTCAAAACATTCGCTCTCCACATAAGCCCCTGGCATCAGCTCCTCATTTGCCCCCTCCCACCCCCTCCATTATGATCCCTTTATAATTTATATATTATTATTTTGTCATATCTTACACTATCCAACGTCTCCCTTCATCCACTTTTCTGTTGTCCATCCCCCAGAGAGGAGGTTATATGTAGATCCTTGTAGTCGGTTCCCCCTCTCTACGCAACCCTCCCTCCACCCTCCCAGTATCGCCACTTTCACCACTGGTCCTGAAGGGATCATCTGTCCTGGATTCCCTGTGTTTCCAGTTCCTATCTGTACCAGTGTAAATCCTCCGGTCTAGCCAGATTTGTAAGGTAGAATTGGGATCATGATGGTGGGGAAGAAGCATTTAAGAACTAGAGGAAAGTTGTATGTTTCATCGTTGCTACACTGCACCCTGGCTGGCTCGTCTCCTCCCCACAACCCTTCCGTAAGGAGATGTCCAGTTTCCTACAGATGGGCTTTGGATCCCTACTCTGCACTCCCACCTCATTCACAATGATATGATTTTTTGTTCTTTGATGCCTGATAGCTGATCCCTTCAGCACCACATAATCACTCTGGCTGGTGTGCTTTTTCCATGTGGGCTTTGTTGCTTCTCAGCTAGATGGCCTCTTGTTTACATTCAAGCCTTTAAGGCCCCAGACGCTATATCTTTTTTTTTTTTTTAATCAATTTATTGGGGACGCTATATCTTTTGATAGCCAGGCACCATCAGCTTTCTTCACCACATTTGCTTATGCACCCGCTTGGTCTTCAGCGATCTTGTCAGGAAGGTGAGCATCATAGAATGCCAATTTAATAGAAGAAAGTATTCTTGCATTGAGGGAGTACTTGAGTTGGAGGCCCAATGTCTTATCTGCTACCTTAATACTAAACCTATAAATATATGCACATACAGTGAACCCTTGCCACTTCACGCTTCAACTTCCACGGCTTCACTCTATCGCGGTTTTTGCGTAACAGGACCCACTGTCTACATCCGCTCCTTCAGAGGAAAAAGACGGCGACCCACCTGTAGAGTACATCCCTTAAGTCATTTCATAGGCTATTGATTACAGTATTTGTAAGAACTATGTATAATAATACTGTATGTGAAATATGTAATACTATAAACTAGATGCCATAAATATAATAAATGATAATTGTAACGTCCAAAATATTTTACTGTATTTTCCCTTTTTTGTTTAATAAATTGGGTAATACGAGTGTAATGGTGACTAAAGGGTGTTTTTTCATGTCCTCTATGCTCTAACTACGAAAATATTTGATTTACAAATAAGGAATCCTACTTCGCGGAATTTCATTTATCACGGTAGGGTCTAAAACCGATTAACCGCAGTAAACGAGGGTTCACTGTAAATCTATTTCCTCATCACTATGTGGCTTTGCATTGCTCCAGTTGCAGATCTGTTATGTTCCCTTCTTGGTTCTCCAACTGTGAGGGGGTTCAGACTGGACTAACTCCTGGCCGTGGGGCCCCAGTATTGTGTGAGGCTGGATTTTATCTGTGACTTTAACCAAAGTGAATGTAAAGATACATGTGAAAATCAAGTAATCTTTTACGTAGCCATGTAGTTTTCAAATGTTTAGGGAATTTTGCCAAAATGCACTACTCATGTCACTAAAGTGTTTTATTTGGGAAATTGTTAATTTCATTTAAATGTATATTATTTTTAATAATATGTAATGAGTGCTGGTTCTTTGTGGACAAATTGTAATCCCATGCATTTGGGTCACATCTGAAAGCCCCAATGTAATAGCCTGACCTTTAGGTTTTACTTGGGCATGAATGGCTGAGGTACTTTGGCATCCTCGGTTTTCATTTTGACGTCTGTTTTTGACAAGTTTGCTTTTAAGTGCTCCTTTTTCCACTTTTGGATAAGCTTTTTTCCTTCCTCCTCAGGTTTGTTTAAGCATCTTGAATACCTGGCATGGAAGACCAGAAGAGAAATGGAATCCTCAGACCTCAAGCTTTTTGCAAGTAAACAGATTTTCACTGACAATTTCACTTTTAAAACTATTAAGGAATTTATTATTATGTATGTGTTTTATAAATACTTTAATAAAGTGATAGGTTAAATTGGTAAGCAGGTAGATAAAAAGATAATGGTATGCATGTTGAATAGCTCATACTGAGGCAATATAGTGAAGTTTAGCTTATCTAGGTAAAGGTTGAGATTTGGTAAAATTGCCTTTTAAAAAAATCTCAAAACTGCCCATAATTTATTGCATGTCCTTGGTTTATTATTTGCCTCTCCCATTGACTATTGTTCATAAACTCATTAAATAGAATTGTGATAGTAGATAGGGTTTTTCATTTGTGTAATTCACAAATAATAAAATTGACACTTTTTTGTATGCTGATCTTTTCATTTTAGAGTAAATCCTCCTGCCCCCCCCCAAGTTTTAGTTTTTTAATTTACTGTGATTTTTATGTAATAATCTTCTGACTTTATAATCTACAATTTATTTCGTCTCCAGCTGTGGTTCTCAACCTTCCTAATGCCGTGACCCTTTAATACAGTTCCTCATGTTGTGGTGACCCCCCAATCATAAAATTATTTTCGTTGCTACTTCATATCTGTAATTTTGCTACTGTTATGAATTGGCTGACCCCTGTGAAAGGGTCATTTGACCGCCAGGTTGTGAACCACTGCTCTATAGTCTAATGTTGTCACTTTTAAGATTGTTTCCTTTATAAATAATGTTGTTTTATATTACATTTTTTATATATCCAAGTAGTTTTCTGAGGCTAGATTCCTAGTTTTGGAGCAAAATGATTGAAGAAAGCCTGGAGGAAGGTGTATTACTGTCTATGTTTTTACTTCTCCATACTATTTCCTACTATTTAATTATTTGGGATTTATCACCATGAACTATTTTATTATAATATATATTAAATCCAATATCATGATCAATCACTGTACCCATTTAAATGTCTCACCGAAAAAAAGGGTTATTCAAGAAGATCATGGAAAAAATTGTTGTATCTTTGTTCCCCCTAGTATCTTGGTTTTGTTTTTTTTTTAATCATTTTATTGGGAGCCCCCTACTATCTTTTATTTCCATTTTCCATAAACTTTTTGAAGACCCTCATTTCACCACTCAGAGTATTTTTGAACTCTGATACTTAGTAAAATGCTATAAAAAAGTGTTCACCAACTCACAGATAAGGTGATTTTTAAATTTTTTTTTGATAAGGTGATTTTAAGAGTGATTTTACTACTCATTTCCATGCTTTTATGTTTTTTTTAGTGATGTTCATCAATTACTGCCTAGCAATAAGAATTTTTTGCATTGTTTTTGTCTCAGATTATCAAGGATACTAGTTTTAAACTTTTTAAACAATGGAATTTTCCCCACTACTTTTGGTTAGCTAAACTTTGTCTTATAGATACCTCAGAAAGTATATACTGTCTACTGACCTTAAGGTCTGAGTCTGGTAATACGAGAATGATAATGGTAATTTGTTCATCTGAGTACCATGCAGAATATAACCACTGTGTTGCAAAATGTGTCCTCTAAAATTCCTAGAGTGTAAAATGCGATTATTATCTTTATACCTCACAAGCTTGTTTTTAAAAATCAGTTATATATATTATATATTTAATTTTTTCTATAAAATTCTTATCTACATTGTCATTATGATACTAGTAATTAGTACAGTAATCATTTGGTTTGAAGATACCAAAATCTTTTAGAGGCGGTTTAGCTAATAGGGGATCTCTGGTAATCAAAGTGAAAATTTCTAATAAAATCGTGTTGGTCAAGAGTTTTGATTTTATTTCTTCCATAGTAGGAAACAAGTAAAAGTTTTATTCAACGAATAACATTGTTAGTGTGAATGGTGCATGTAAAATGCAGTAATGTAAGATGTCACACTGGAAGACAACATTGATCTGACCTTACCCTTGGTATTATTACTTTGTGTGCACATAGAAGTTGGACAATGAATAAGGAAAACCCAAGATAATTAATGCTTCTGAATTATGGCATTGTCAACTTTTGAATATACATACCATGGGCTACCGGAAGAATGAATAAGTGTGTCTTGCATAACACTTGGGAGGTTGGTGTAGCCAGTGAGTGTTCTGTGTCCGCAGGCTCACTATGAGTCAGGATTGACTTGACAGCACTGAAAACCAGCATATCAGCCAGGGAGACATGCTAGGCAGACAGCTGTACTGATACAATTTATAGTCAAAGGAGGCCCCAAGGTAGTACAAATGGTGTGAACATGACTATTAACCAGAGTTGGTGGGTTGAACCCAACCAGTGCCACCATGGAAGAACGGCTTGATGATCTGTTGTACCTAAAGATCACAACCAAGAAAAACATAGGGGGCAAACCAACAAACAATGGCGCAGCTCTGCTCACTAACACATTGAGTCGCCATGAGTTGGAATCAACTCGATGACAACAGGTTTGATTTTTTGTTTGTTTATAGACAGAGGTGACAGAGGGCCTGAGCTAGGTCAGTGATCACAGGCAGATGTAGATGGGGATTTTATTTGAATGGTCTATGATGAAGAAAATTACTAGATCCCCTAAGCAGTCTGGAAAATGACCATTCTTTCAGAACAACTGAGATACTGTGTTCCTGTACCAAGTCATAGATGCATAATGGAAGACATTTAGATTACTAAGGAGCTGCTATATATGTGATGGGAGCTCTTGTGTAGTGGATTACGAGATGGGTTACCAACCCTAGGTTAGCAGTTCGAATCCAGAAGCTATATCAAGGGAGAAAGATTAGATAGACTTCATACTCCATAAAGAGTTCATTTTGGAAACCCACAGGGTCACTACGAATCAGAATTGAGTATATATGATGAGCTGAAGTTTAATCCAAGGCAAGCAGATTATAAAAAATGTTCCAACAATTTATTGACCTCCTAGAAAACACTCTCGTATGGACGTAGCTGAAAACATCTTAGACTGCACTGTTCGTAACCTGTTACCAGACTGTACTGCCAACGGGTTCCATTCCAGTGCAACAGAAATTCCCAAAATAATACAAGATTGACAAACTTGTCCATCTGATTTTATATTTGGGAGACAAGTAGGGGAAAAAATCTTAGATGAGTTTTAAACCGACCATCATTTTAAAAGTTTCTAGATGGACCAAAAGTTTTAAAGAACGTCAGGAAGACCTCAAAGATGAACCAAGAGAGAGAAGGCTATCATCTTTGATAAACGAAGAAATTGGCTGAGGTCCAGAAACTTTTGGAAGAAAACTGTAGAATTACCCCTGCTGCAGTAGCTCCTGCAGTCGAGACCGCACATGGTTGGTTAGCATTTTCAACATCATGAAATCTTCTTGGTCTCCGCCAGTTTTCAGCCAGTGCCAAAAGCATTGCACACAGATCAGTTAGTTCAAAGAACCAATCCTTCCATCAGCCTTTTAAGCAAGATCAAAGCTAATGCAGATGACTTTATGGAAAAAAATGATGATTGGAGACATATCCTGGGTTTACCAATCTTACCCATTTGAAACAATCTGAAGGGAAAATTTTGGGTCAGGTCAATTGAAGGTGGCAGACATAGGCCAGTTCAGAAGGTTAAGACGGTTGTGTTTGGAATGCCAAAGGGATCATCTTGATTGACACTCTCAAAGGACACAAGATGAGAGATCACATGGACATTAGGAAGGAGGTTTAAGAAAATGGAAAACTGCATTGGTGAGAAAATGGCAGGAACATTCCTCTGAGATTGTGTTCTATGACAAGGTACCTCTCATTCTGCAAGAATAGGAAACCCCTGATTTTGTCCCTTCAGACATCTTTTTGTTCACAAAATTTATTTTTGAAGATGAACACAGTTTGAGTACCAGGAGGCCGCCAAAGTGCTGTTTTGTGTTGTACCGATCAAGTTGCATAGAATTCTTTGGGGAAAGGTTAAAGAGGTGGAAACGTCACCTCCCAATGTATATAGACCTAGATGGAGGATTTGTTGACAAACAGTAGCTTCCATACCTTGATTCTTTCATTCAATCAAGGTGTCTTATGATTTCTCTTTAGCAATACTTTTTTACTTACTCTTGTATAACATATGGCTTTACTGCCCTTAATTTTGCTTTGATAATAAAGTATTTCATTGTGATAATTGCATCAATATTTTGGTAATAGAAACAGGTAGACACATTAAAAGAAGCTTCTAGTTGGTAAGGCAAGCAAGCTATAAGCACATGTCCAGTTGTGACTTTTATTTTCTTCCTTCCTCAGGTGTTAGTGTCTGTTCAGTCCCTTATATTAGTAGCTGAGCCTTATTTCAATGAACCAGGATATGAACGGTCTAGAGGCACTCCCAGTGGCACACAGAGTTCCCGAGAATATGATGGCAATATTCGACAAGCAACAGTTAAGTGGGCAATGCTAGAACAAATCAGAAACCCTTCGCCATGCTTTAAAGAGGTATGTTCCAGGAAATTTGAGAAATTAAAGGCATTTTATAATCTGTGAGGGCTTCAAAAAATTATAGAAAAATGGTATTAAGAAACGAATCAGCAACTATTTGACACCACTCATAATTCATTAGCATTATACTTGCTTTTGTGTATAGCTCATCTTTGACATATGTAACTTTACGATAATAAAGTTTTCTTTAATTTTTAGAGTTAATTCTAAAAACTCACTAATTCAGTTGAATTTTAAAACCTATATTCTGAAGTCATTAACTATTTTGGAACTGTTTTATTCCTTATTTCTAGCCTACTCTCACAATCTCAATAAATTATTTGCCTTTTGCCTTGAAAAGTCATGGGAAATCTCCTAATATTGAAAATACAAACATTCATTTGTTTAAGCCCTGAAGCATTCTGCCCTTGCAAACTTTGGGTTATCCATACTAAGTAATTCTGTTTTTAACACTCAGTAGAGTTTTGTAGACAGGAAAACGTAGCAATAGCTTTTCAGTTGTACCTTTATACTATCACTTACTTTGTAGTTTAAATCCTAACGAATCCTTGTTTCTTCACCTAAGGTTATCCACAAGCATTTTTACTTGAAGAGAGTTGAGATCATGGCTCAGTGTGAAGAGTGGATTGCAGACATTCAGCAGTACAGCAGTGACAAGCGGGTTGGCCGGACTATGTCTCACCATGCAGCAGCTCTCAAGGTGGGTGAGCCTTCCTGGAAGGGCCTGAGAAAGAGGTCTGTGTTCATGATTATAGAGTTAAGGCCAGCAAAAGGCAAATAAGGGGGAAATTAAGGAGTCATTGTCTTTGGGATACAGGAAATGTTTGTGAATTAAATAATATGTTTGGCATTTAGTTCAAGATAATAAGATATGGGGAGTAGGACAGATATAAATGAAACAACACTAGCTATACATAAATAATGATTACATAGGACTTTGTATTGCTATTCTACTGACTTTTGTATATGTTTAGAATTTTCCATAATAAATCCTTTTAAAAATAAAATAAAATTTTAAAAAAAAGAAAAGAAAGTTGTCTCTTAATACTTCCATCCTCCTAAGCTAATTAATTCTGTATGGGCCCAGGCTTCTTGATACAGATATTAATACTTCTTACCTCCATTTTTTGTTTTAAATCATTTTATCTGCCCTGTATTCCCTGTGTTTACAGTTCCTATCTGTACCAGTGTACATGCTCTGGTCTAGCCAGATTTGTAGGGTAGAATTAAGGTCATGCTAGTGGGGGTGGGGGTGGAGGGGAAGCATTAAAGAATCAGAGGAAAGCTGTATGTTTTATTGGTGCTATCTTTTTTTTTTTTTTTAATCGTTTTTTGGGGGGATAGTACAGCTCTGATCACAATCCATCCATCCATCCATTGGGTGCTTTCTTATCTCCATTTTTAAACCATCCTTTCACTAACTAACCTTCTGCTTGACTTTCCTTCCACTAAAGCTTATCCTCAAAGCCAGTTAGCATGGTTTACTTCTGCTCACTTCTCTTTTCCTCTGCTTTAAAATGTGTTTACCCTTCCCTCTACTTTTTTTTCCCCCCGGGCTCAGACTTTATTCCTGTCCCACCTGCACAGAAAGGTTTCTGGGGGCAGTGGGCCCGCAGCCGGGCCTCCAATATTGAGGGGGTACAAGGCAGCCAGAACTAGCAGTACATGGGCTGGTATCACCTGCTGCCTATAGAGACCCTGGCACCCTGGCCCACGCTGTCTGTCTGTCTGTCCGTCCATGGAGTCCCCGCATGGGGTCATTTCCCTGCCGCCTGGGTCTGCAGCACTGCTGGCTTGGACAGCGTCTGCTGCTGAAGCTGCTGCACCAGCTCAGCCACGAAGACCTTGTACAGAGGGATGGGCTCCTTCTCCTCCAGGAGCCTCTGCTTCTCCACGGCCTCATCCAGTCAGGCCGACCCATTCCACCTCAGCCTCAAGGATCACAAACTCCTTGTACCTGTTGTAGACGGTGGCCCTCCTCTCGGGATCATTGGGGTGCAGCTGTGGGTCCTGCCGGGCCAGACGCAGCAGCATGCCCCGCTTCAGCTCCATCCCGAACTTGGAGCACAGATCTACCTTCGGGGCCTTGAGGATGTAGAAGTCGAATCCGTAGGCCTCATCGATGAGGCCCAGTGTGCTCATGGTGACCGTCACAGAGAACTTCCTGTCCAGGATCTCACTGTACAGTTCTCGTGGGAACAGCTGGGGCTTCCATATCTTCTTCACCTTCTTTGCACGCTTGTTCTTCCCAACGTATCTGTGGCCCCGGATCCAGCCCTCACCGCCCCGCAGCCCCTGCTGGGACTCAGGGGGGTGGTGCAGGGGGATGGAGACATCCGCCACGCGCTCACGCTGCCCATTCTTGTGGTTGATCTTGAACTTGGCCCCATGGGGCCTGTAGTGGACGGGAGTGGGCACAGGGTCTTCCTCCAGGGATCGGAGGTAGTGTGGGACAAGTGAGCCAAGATGCCCTCCTTCAGCCGAAGTGGTTCCAGAGATTCACAGGGAACTTGTGCAGGGGCATGGCAGCCGGTGAAGCTAGCTGGTTCCCAGGTACCCCCTCCCCTCTACTTTTTATCTACTCTACTAACGACTCCATTCGTTTCTCAAAATAAATTTCATTTCATGGAAGCTTGCTTTCAATACTAGATATTACATCATTTATTTCAGTATATGCCTATCCATGAGTCTCTCAACGTATTTGCCCAGTGGTTGTCTTCTCTACTACATTTTGCTTCATACTCTCCTGGTTCTTCAAATGCTCTTTGTTGTAATGCTTTTGGTGTGTTTTGTTTTTCTCTGATGGTTATACGAGGTATGTCACAGTGCATTGTTCTCATACATGCACAAGCCTAATGCTAACAGAATATGTTTGCACAGGGCTCTGATCTGTGGGTCACTGCAGACACGTGCTCAGTAGTACAGTTATCTTAGTCATGTTACAATGGCTCCCTTCCACTATCACGCTCTCTACCCCCCTCCCCCCCAAAAGGATCTAGTTAAAACACTGGCTTCTGAGGGGAGTCTTCTGGATCAACTAATACAAGGCACACAGGCCAGCTCAAAGTTATGGAAACTCTTTTTTGAGGGCGATTCCAGAAGAGTAATCTTGCGAGATTTTCTTAGGAAGACGTTCTTAGAAAATTGAAAACTGCTTTGGGGAGGAAAAGGCCAGGGAACTAGTGCCAAGGAACTTTTCCCATCACTACAATGCACTGCTCATTTTTCAAGGGCAGTGAAGGCTATAGCATAAGAATTTCATCAGGAAATCCTACTCCAGCCACCCTACAGCCCTGATCTTGCCCCTCAAGCTCCCTTTCCTTCCCACACTCAGGATTTTTAAACAGAACAGGGTGTGTGTCCCTCAAGAATGCAGAAACTGCCGTTCTTGATAGTAATGTAAATTGGAGAGCCCAGAATCATTCAGGAAAGGAGTGAGGAGATGGAAATATTGCCTTCAAAAGTGTATAGACCTAGATGGAAGGTGGGTGGAAGCAACAGCTTCACATTTTGACTAAAAAAATATTTTTAAACATATTAGGAGCTCTTACAGATATTATTATAATCCATAGATCCATTTGATCAACGTAGTTGTAATTGCTGCCATCATTCATTTTCAGAACATTTTCTTTCTTTGTGATCTCTTTGATAGCAGCTCCCCTTTATCCTTCCCCCCCTCCACCCTATACCTCTCCCGAACCCTTAATATATTATTATTACTGGCTTTCCCCCCTTTATTACTGTTTGTTTGGTTTTTTTTGCCATAACTGACACTATCCAGTGTATTCTTTCACCTAAAATTCTATTGTTCGTTCCCCTTCACTGGGGTTGTACAGTCATCATTACTCTTGGTTCCCCTCCCCCAACCCCTCTTCTATAGCCTCAGGAAGTCATTGCTTTGTCCGATTACTGTTTCTGAAATATTTATCTATCACATTTTGATAATTTTTGTTTAGAAATGTTTCTATGGTTTTATAGCCATACTTTTTTACTTACCCTCATATGACTTAAGGATTAGTTTTCTACTCTTGACTGTTTTATCCATTTTCTCTTTCCCATTATTAGTTGCACCCAAATTTTGGCCATTTATTCTAAAAATTATTCTTCATACTATTGTCTACTCTGAGCTTTATCCTAAACTCTATTATTATGAGTCTAGCTTTCTCCATTTACTTAATTTTATAACATTTTTCTTTGTCTAGAAACCTTCATATATATTACTTAACCTTCCTCACTACCCCTAGTCAGCCACTAGGTCTTAACAGTGCTACCATTATAAGAGGATGCCTTCCTCCATTTTCTTCCTCATTTTTATTCCATTCCCATAACTCAGTTTGACCAGTTTCTTAACCAGTTCTCCCCATACCAATATTTATTTCATAGAGCATAACAAGACTGATCTTCCCTACACTTTTAACTAGCGTCTTTTCTTCAGTCAAACCTCAGTGGATAAAATTCCATTTCTTTTACCTTTATATTGGTCAGTGACTTGGCTTATGTCTCAAAATGTGTTGCTCTCGTCTCTGGGTCACCCTGACATAGGACTCCCAATCCATAAAGACTTAGGTCATCTTAACTATGCCTTTGTTGCTGAGTGTTTAAACTAGAGAAAAATGAGAAACTTAAACGTGGCTCTAGGTGTGTGGTTTTCTCTCTTGTTTATGTTTTATACCTCAAGCAGAATTTAGGCTCCACGAAGTTAGAGGCTATATCTTCTTTATTATACTCATGGATTACAGTTGATGTCATGAAACCCATGAGAAATTTGTTCACTGCAGATTAGTATGTAAACTAATGTTTCCCTTTATTTGGTTAATCCTCCTCCCCACCCTAGCCTTTTGAGTTCCCTTCATTGCCAGAAGGCAGGGCTGCTGACAGAGGTAAAAGCTACATCAGTACAGAAATTATTGTGGCTTTGTTAGCTAATATCAAACATGAGATGGACAGACAGATTTTTGGATTAGCTTCATGAGACCTTTTAAAAAGAACATAGCCAGGTTGACTTCATCAAGCACATTCATCTTGCCTTCAACTATTGATCGCCTTTTACTTACTAAAATTCCATTCATTCCTATATTGTTTCATTTAATAATTTCCTACCTTTTCCAAGGCCTGTGCTAAGCACTGGGAATAAAAGAAGAATGGGAAACAATTTCTGTTAAGAAATTCTAGCTTTTCTAACAGTTACTGTGTGAACTTGCTTTTGATATTTAATATCCTGTTTCCTGGTCTATAAGCAGAAAAAGATTAGGCTCACCTTAGAGTTTATTAAAAGGAATAAACAGATCAACAATATTGTATATGATGTGTTTAGCATAATGCCTTATACATCATTAAATGTCATCAAGTGGACCCCTGAGTCATGGAGACCCCAAGAACTGCAGAATGAAAGGTTGCCTGACCTTACACCATCCCCACGGCCAGTTGCAGAGAGGACCGCTCTGCTCCATAGAGCTTTCAATGGCTGGTCAGAGCACCGGGCCGATCTTCCTTGTTTGCCTTAGTTTGGAAACTGCTGAAACCTGTGCAGCATCATAGCACTCAAACTTCTACTGAGAGATGGGTGATGGCTGTGCACGAGATGCATTGACTGGGACTCAAGCCCATTATAAACTCTCATGCCTGTAAATAGTAGCTACTTTCCCCCATCTTGTTATCAGTAGTATTAAGACTGGCTCCAATGCTGCCTCCCCTGATAACGACATCACCATTTTTCGGTTGAAATTAATCTCTCCTTTTCTTACTATCCTTAAGCACTCTTTTATCTCCACTAACCTGTAAGCTGCTTAAAATAATTTTTTCTTGTCTCCATTTCTTCAGCAGTGATTCATTGATACATTTAACACAGATGTACTGAGCATCTATTACATGCTAAATGCTATGCTAGCCGCTTAAAATGTGGCTCTAATGTAGCTCTACATATTAAGTTTGATGGGAGAAATAGATAAATAGTTAGCTACTGACCAGGCTTTGAAACAGTGGTTCCCAACCTGTGGGTCACGACCCCTTTGGGGGTTGAATGACCCTTTCACAGGGGTTGCCAGATTCATAACAGTAGCAAAATTACAGTGATGAAGTAGCAACAAAAATAATGTTATGGTTGGAGGGGTCACCACAACACGAGGAACTGTATTAAAGGGGCGCGGTATTAGGAAGGTTGAGAACCACTGTTTTGAAAGCACTTGTCATCTCTTAGCATAAACTTCCCAGAGGAAGTAGCTTATAAATTTCATTATGAATAGTAAGTGTGAGTTACTATCCTGGGCAGGGTAAAAGGAATGAGGAGAAGTATTTCTAACAAGGGAAAGGCAGGCCTCAATACAAGAGAAAGTAGGGTACATTGAAGAAACGAAAATATTTTGTGCAGCTAGAGGAGAAACTAAAAAGAAGAATAGAAAGTTGATTGGAGAGGTAGGTAAACACTTGATCATGCTAAACTTAAAAGTCTTGGTTTAAGAAAAAAAATTTTTTAAGGGCTTGCCTTTTAGTCTAATAATTGTGGGAAGACACCAGAGGGTTTTAACAGGTAATAACATGGTCAGTGATGGAGAAGTAATGGCGGAGAGAACAGTAATTTTTTTGTAAGATCAGAATCTCTGTGATTGAATCGTCTTGTTTGAGGTGAGGATGAGCAGGCTGGACAAATGGTAAGAGGAGTCACATGATTAGAGTTTGGGTGCTGATACCTGGGCCAGATAACTGGTTTTTTGTAAACTGGAGTAAACAGAAAGGAGAGTTGAATGAGGATGTAAGGAAAGGTGACCAAACTTGATGTGCTTGTGTGGAATATCCTCATGGGATCATGAAAGGAAATAGTGGAGAATGAAAAGAGAAGACAGAGCCCTAAGGAGAGCCAATATTTGAACAATATTCAGAGTCAGAGTTGCTAGCAGAGTAAAGTAGAAAGTTGTAACGAGGGAGACAGAAGGACAGCCAATACAACGCTACATCAGAGTAGCCCATGGAAAATAGTGTTTGCAGAAGAGGAGAATGGCCAGCAATGTACTCAAAACTTGAACTTCATTTGATGGCTTTGACCTTCAGAAGCCATGGTATGGTGGGTTGGGAAGTGAAGTGGAGATAGTCAATTGAGTAGATACGGTGTCAAGCGCTTTGGCTGTGAAGAGAAATGGGGGGAGAACATGAGTCTGAAGCCTGAAGGAGGAGCTTGGCAGTGGAGGAAGTTCGGAGATCTGAGACTTTAGCAGATATCAATACGGAGTCAGGAGTCACGGGCCGTCCTTTCCATCGCAGAACATGCATGTAAATAACTCTATGCTTGTACAGTGCTCTTTTGTTCATTCCTGACAACCTTGCGAGGTATGTATAAAAAGAGATATGAGCCACTTTATTGTTGTTCATGTTGAGTCAATGAAGTCAAACCCTAGAGAAAGAAAGAGACTTTGTGTGTAGCTACACAGTAGGGTAGGACAGAGTTAAACCTTGAACCCAGGTCATAGTGTAGGCTCTGAAACTTACTTGACCCACCCCAGCCCCGGTTCAGAAAAAAAAAATTTGATCAGTGCTCCCATCTCCCCCATCCATGTCAATTAAACCTTTTCTGCTGCAGCCCATCATCCAGGATGAAATGTAGGTACCTGCTTTTGTAGCCCTGCTCCCCACCCCCAAAAGTCATTCCAGTGCCCCTTAGGAAGCAGTGTGCCCCACTCTGGGAAACACTGGGCTAGGGGAAAACAAGACCCCGGTGACAGCCGCTTCCCTGTACCTTAACCTTCCTAATGTGTCGCGACCCTTTCATGCAGCTCCTCCTGTGTGGTGACCACCAGCCATAAATTTATTTAAGTTGCTACTTCATAACTGTCATTTTGCTACTGTTATGAATTGGGCGACCCCTCTGAAAGGATCATTCGGACCCCCAAATGCTTCTTAGCCCTGCTGTACATTCCAATCACTTGAGGGGCTTTATTTACAACCTTCTGAGAGAAGGGCTATATTCTCAAACCTGCCCTGGTGATTGCGATGCACATCAGGGTTGAGAAGTGCTGGTAGTTGTGGTGTCAACTTTTTATTGTTTACAGAACAAATCATTTTTCCACTCAACAATCCTCACACATTTTATTTCATGTCATTGATGCAACATTCACAATTTTACATCACCACTAATTACGTGAAACGGTTGGGTACAGATTAGTAAGTAAGCACAACTAAGCCCATGCTCACCTTGCTTTCTGGGTACTCTGCCCCTGTCAGGCATTGTAAATTTCAAAACAGGCTTTGGTTCTGTAAGAAGATGTGGCCATACTTAAACAGAATCTTCGAACAGTAACAGTGACTTATATGCAGAAATACAAAGTAAATATTTGCAGGCTAATACTTTTGAGTTTTGTTATAAACCCAATTTCTTCCTCAGATAATCATGCACTACAATCCCAGATTTTACCATTCTAACAGCATGCATCTTTCTTCCCCGTGTAGCGTCACACTGCTCAGCTCCGGGAAGAGCTACTCAAACTTCCCTGCCCTGAAGGCTTGGACCCTGATGCCGACGTTGCCTCGGAGATGTGCAGTAGTGCCTCAGCCGGGGCTGAGGAAACTCCAGGGCATGATCAGGTCAAAGCCAGCAGCAGTAAAGAACTCCCCAGTGACTTCACATTATGAGCTGCATTGACATGGACTTCATAGACACAACGGCTTTGAAGCACAAGCCAAATATGTCAATATTTGTATGTAAGAAACTAATTATGTATTAGGTAATGAAACTGAAACTATACTATGCCCTTAAGGAGATCCAGTTTAATTCAAGGTGATCTTTTATTTACCTGTACAAGAGTGTAAACTTTTTTGTGCTTTTATTTTTTAATTGTGAGAACCACTGATTGGTATGTTCAACAAATTTGTGTATACAAAGAAATGGATAAATCACTGATATATAAGGGAACTACCTTAGGAAAGAATGTTTACTGAATGTTTATTTTATTTTTTTTTTACTGTAGAATGAGGGGTTGTTAACAAAGAATATATATTGGTCATTCTTACAACTACTATTTAAGTCAGAAACTTTTCACTGAATTTCATAGATTTAATGTTTGGCCATATCTTCATGCCTCATATTTGATTTCTGAAGACCTACATACACGTCAATAAAAGTTAAATGGACATGCTCCCTCTTTTCTGATTTGCTGGTACATTTTAAAAGTAATAAATCTGCCATAAGATGCATATAGCCGGAGACTTGCACTTGTATGGATGAATTTATTACAGTCAACATATTTAATTTTATGCCTTTTAATTCTAAAATGCCGTAAAAATAAATGAACCTGATTTTATTCTATGCCAACATTTGGGCCTCTGAATGTATCTGTTATTTGAATTTTAAGTATATGAAAAGGAATGGTCAATTTGACAAGTCACTCTAAACCGATTTTTCCCCTAAAGGGCTCTTCTTTTCTCTCTGGTTGATTACCGAAGTCACCTGTCTGTATGAAACGTTGAGGCTCTGCAGAGAGGACGTAACCCTCTGGTGCTGTACATTCTGTACCTGCCATATAGGCTCGTTTTCATGAAAATTCTTCCTAGAGCTAAATAAAGACTTAGGTGTCTTCATATGTCTTGTTTCTGAAAACAGTTTGCCATGGTGTGAAATTCTATTTCTGTAAGGAACTGGGAACTCCCAAGACCTAAGCATGGGAGAGGAAGTGATATCCCAAGATCCGTTACCACAAGGGCAAGGCTGATGTGATTCATGACAACACTTCTACAAAGTGGTGCTTACTGGGAAGTACCTGACTTGAGCTAGGGCGTCGCCTGTGTGAGAACGCATTCTTCATGTTCAAGTTACCAAGGGCCTTGAGCATGGATAAAAGAACCAAAAAATTCACAAAGTGAAGAAAGTGTCAACACCGGTGATTCGTGTGGCTCACCAAGGATGACAAAAGATCGTTTATGAGACGGAGACATGCATTATACCACCTGTAGACCAGCTAGTTAGAATCTAATTAAGCATACGATAAAGTTGGGCTATTGTCCTTATCCCCCACTCTTAGTCTTCAGAAAGCTTCCTGAAAGTAATGTCATAGTACCCGTACTGTAGAAACCAATTCCTATTTTTGTTGTAAATCAAGGCCTAAAAAAATTTAATACTGATTACTTTTAAAATAGTTCCATCTGAAACTCGGACTTTGTTTCCAGCAAACGAGCACGCACTGCATCTGTGCCAGGTACAGGTTTCTGCAGTCAGTGTGAGCCTGGCAAACAGGAAAGCAGTGAGTGCAATAAGGTAAGTATTTTCAAAAGTTATTTATATGCTGCCACTGGCGCACCAATTAAGGACCTTTATTGCGGGCCACGGACCCTGGTGGTGCTGTCAGGTAAGCAATTGGATTGCTAACCACACGGTCAGTGGTTCAAACCCATCAGCTACTTGGAGGGAGAAAGATGAGGTTATCAGCCTTAGAAACCTTAAGTAGGGTTGCTATGATTTCGAATTGACTTCATGGTAGTGGTTTAGTTTTGGTTTGGCTTTTTGGATGCAGGCAAAACATTGGTAGATCTAAGAGGATGCAGTCAGGAAAGGTTTAACAGGAAACATTTTGAACTTGAAGAGGGGAAAGAAGTTAGCAAGGCAGAAAGTTATTCTATACTAGACCCAGGAAAGTGAAGTTTCATGCCCCAGGGTTAAATACCAGGCGTTCAGGGCAAAGTGGGATAGACCATAGAATGGCCGCTGGGATGTTGGAAAGACAGGAAGGGTCATACTATAAAGACCTGTTGGCCCTACTTAAGAATTTTGATGATGGAGAGACCTTGTATAGTTTTAATTAGGGAAGCAGCATGACCAGATTGCTTCCAGCACTGTTGGTTGGGCAATCATGTAAGAGTCCACGCTAGAATCCAGATGGTAGATCATAAATCTTAAGACTATGAAAGGGATGGAAAGGCAGAGAGAATTGAGAGAACTTGAAGAAAAGGCACTGTTGGTATAAGAATAACCAAGTCTGTGGGCTGAGGAGTCAGGAGACGAGGGTAAATGCGAAGGCCTTGGATAGCATTGGAACAAAGCTCAGCAAAGGATGACCTGGGCCTGAAAGCTAGTTTGAAGAATGTAGAGAAACGTAGACACCAATAAAGCATATTGCTGTGTTCATAAATCTTTTACTACAAAGTTAATAGTAAAAAATTGAACTATCATTGTAGGATTACCTACGATCATTATCCTAAATCAACAAAGTAGTATAAACATTTATTTTTCTCTGCTCATAACTTGGCTTGTAGGATAGAATGGTCGTATGAAAAATTTTAGTATGTCTCAAATTGGTGAAGAGCCAGAGTTTTGCCACCCCCTCCCACCCCATTAGAAACCGAAAAATTATGAACTACAGCAAATGTACAGAAACAACGTCCATTGCCTATTCTCACTTTTCTGTACTTGGCTAATTGCTTTCTGAGCTTGAGAAGCAATCACTGTCAAAATAGGTTTAGTCAAAGTTGGTTTAGTCCCTAGGCAGACATTATGATATTAAAAGTAATTCTTCAGCAGAACTTTGTCATGTCTCACCATACTATATGTTGTTAGGTGCAGTTCTAACATATCAACAATCCACAGTGGAATGAAATATCCTCTTACAGGTGGTGCTATAATAGTAGCAGTTAGTTATAATTCAAGCTTCAGATCTTGGGGGGCAGTGAGATTGGTTTGACCATTGCCCAGTCCTGTGTCATCCTCACACTCAGTAGGTTGGAAACCATTGTTGCAGCCAATGTGGCAATCCTCAGGGAAGGTCTTTTTAACTAACCCTTTCCCAATTCTGATCTCCTTTTCCAGGGATTGATCTATCCTGATAAATGTGTCCCAATGTGTGAGACAAAGTGTTGCCATCCTCACGTATAAGGAGCATTCTGGCTGTCTTTCCAAGACAAATTTGTTTGTTTTTGTTCTGGCAATACTTTGAATATTCCTTGCCAGTGCCCTAATTCCAAATCATCAAGTCTTACTGTCCAGCTTTCACATTTATATGAGTTGATGGGAAATGCCATGATCTGTGTCAGGCGCACCTTACGCTTCAAAGTGACATCTTTGCTCTTCAACAATTAAAGTCTTGAGCAGCAGGTTTACACAGTCTGAAAGGTCATTTGATATCTTGACTGTTCCCATGAGCGTTGATCATGGATCCAAGTATATATATACTTTTCCACAATTAAAAGTTAATACTCTGGTAGGTGGTAGTAGACGAGTAGCAATTTGTTAAAATAAACGCTTCAGATCTTGTGAGGAAGTGAGATTGGTTTGACCAACAATCTAGGACGTGGAAAAAAGGGAGCCCCACTAGGACAATCCAGACAATAAGGGAGCAGGCTGACCTTGGAGATGGCTGCTGAGCCAGAAGCAGCCTTTCAGGGCCCGAGGAGCCGCCTCAGCCGCCACGTGTGCTCGGAGCATGGCACTCTTTTTGGTTTCAGTATTTCTTCCTGAAATCATGATAGTTCTACCCTATTACTCACTTTGGAAAAATACAGAAAAAGATTTAAGGACTTCGTTATTTTATACCTTCCCTTTAGTCTCCTTTGCTAATTTTGTATGTAGTTAGCATAGTATACATGTTTTTACCTATTTTTTATTAATGATTAAAAATTAATGGCTGCATAGATTGGCCAGTCTCATACTGTTGGATGCTTTGACTCTGTTCTAACTGAAAACTGCTCTTGTGAACATGGTCTATCTGTTTGATAAATTCTACAAGTAGCAAAACCAGATCAAAGGTTTAATACTTGTTGAACAATAAATTGTTTTCCAGAATGGTGATTGTACTGCCAAAATTAATGTTGTCGTGCCCTGGCCAGTGTTGAGTATAATTTTTTAATCTAGTGTTTTTACCTATCAAACATGTTTTAATCTGCATTTTTTTAGTAATAAAATTTACGTGTTTATTAGCCATTGTAATTTCTACTTCTACCCATCATTGGTTTGTTCTGTTTCCATGTTCAGTGAGACCTCCGTGGTCAAACAGCTCCAAGTCAAACTCCCCATTACTCAAACAGTAAAGTTCAAACAAAAATCTGCAGAGTTCATTATTTTGTTCCATAGTTGAACCGGAAATCAGTTGAAGACACGGTTGGGCCCACAGTGGGTCACGTGGGCCGTGGCTTGCCTTGGACACACAGGTATGATGCTGTAGTTGTGCCACTCTCGGTGAGACAACATGTCGTGCTTCTGTTAGTACGTTAAAACATTCATCATTGATTATACAACTCTTCTTAAAATGACAGCCATTTAGTTGTGTAATATGTAGATTATATCTCAATAAAACTTAAAATATAAGATCACTAAGTGAAAACCCCATATAATTTAGAAAGCTTTCAAATAAGCAAGTACCATAACAACAACAAATTCATCATTGTGCTTCCTCCTTTACCCCCGCTTTAGTTGCATAAAATATCATAACCATGGCACCAGAGGAAGTGCTTGCAGCAGTAAAGCTAATAGGAAAACTGAACCACAATAGACATGAAAGAAATTTAAAAAAAAAAAAGATTTCAAAATTTGAATCAGGTCGCCCTTGTCTGATTTGGCAGCTGAGCCACAGCATGACTAGGTCGACATTATCAACATTTTTGAGGGGGAAAAAAGTGTGACTAAAGCTGTTAATATAGCAAAAGATAAAAAATTGTTAAACCACAGAGCAAAGAACCCAGACCATTGAAGAGGTTGAACAGTCACTGTGAGGAACAACTCGATGGTGCGGACACAGTGACACGCACAAAGGCTAGAAGCCTCCATACTGAATAAGTGGAATTGCGCGGCCTTGGAATCAATTGGCTTTCACTGCCCCAGCTGGCTACCCAGACTGTCAATCTGATGAGCAAATAAGCGCTCTGCGCTTTCCTCCCTAGCAGAACCTTAGCCACCTTGAAGGCAGCAGCCCAGTGTTTATCCCGGAGGGCCCCAGGGCTCCTACTGTTAGAAATGTTAAAGTAAAATTAAAAAATATTTTTTTTAAACCCCACAGCCATTGAGTCAATCCGGTTCTTACAGGACAGACACACAGAACTGTGAGACAAACTGCAGGAGTGGGAAAGCGCTTCTTTCCCCAGAGGAGCAGCAGTGGTTTCAAACTACCAACTAAGGGGTAATGATGCCACCGGGTTTCTGTTTTAACCATAAGGCATTTTAATACGTACGAGCTACTTCTCCAATAGAAAAATTTTTAGCATCATTGTAGTTTTTCCCTTTACATTTGCATTCAAGTTTTTCCCACACATTTTAAATTATCGTTAAGTCATCTATTAATCTTTTCTCTCTAATTTTGTATGCTTCCAAAGGGCTTCCCTGTGCAAAGACTAGAAAGTCATAGGTATTTTCTGCCTGGGATTGATTTGGGTGTTCCTGTGAACCCCCTGGAGCTAACGGAGCAGGCTTGAGCCACTCCCACCTATTGTGCTACATTGGGTACCAGTTGGGCGGTAACTGCAAGGTCAGTCTTTCAATCCCATCAGCCATTCAGAGGGGCTTTCTGCTCCTACAGAGATTTGCAGTCTCACTTCATGGTGCCGGGGCCCTTTTGTCCTGGCGCTTGTAGTTTTTAAGTGTCTGCGTGATTTGATCTCAA